CGCGACCACTTAAAGCTATAATTCAGTTTTAAATTGACAAAATTTTTCAATTTCAAAAAAAAAAGAAAAAGCTAAAACGATAGCGCCATGCTGACATTATAGAATTGTATTTGTTTACATATATTTTTAGTCATATATACTTACATATAGAAGCAAACTTATTATAGTTCTTGAGTAAATAAAGTTTTGTTATAATTTTAAATAGAAATAATTTTCGTCTTCTTTGAACAATTTAAATTTCTCCGTTTTTGTGAAAGTAAAAAATTGCAATTCAATTTTAAAAACTTGGGTGTGTTTAAATAAGGCACGTACATACGTATGTAGGTGTACGATTCATACGATGATGTTTACAAGTCTTTGAGTTTCAAAATTAAATTAGGAAAGTGTCAATGTCAAATATTTATCAATTGTTTTTAATCTATCAAAATTTTTTTATTTTCGGCGGAATCAGTTTTCCAAAACATGATTTTTTAAGGTTTTGTAAACAGCAAATTCGAAAATACGGGAAAATTTTATTTTAAAATTTTTAGATTATAATTTTAAGATTTCGAAACATTTTTTGTTACAAAATTTGATATTAGAAAATCTATCAGTATTTGTGATAACCCTCATATTTTCACATTCGTAACGTATCGTATTGGTGGTGTATGAAGTGGATGGTAAAGTGAATCCGAGTTGGTTCAAGTATTGTATTTGAAATAAACAAGGCATATATTAGCACTCAATAATTTTCTTTATATTTAGGACCTATTAAATTGAATATGCACCTCAACTATTTTGACAGAAAATTAATATATTTAACTGGTTTATGTAATTATTACAAAATTAAGAGTACAAATTTTTAATCTATAAGTATTAGGTATACAAATATACATTTTTCTTGTCAATATAACTTTTGTATTGATTTGTTCTAAAAATTCATTTTTAACACTTTTCAAAAAAAATTTTTGAAAAAAAGTGCTTATTAGTTTCACTCTGTCCGTCTGTCCGTCCGTCCGTCCGTGTGTCTGTTTACAAAACTTCTACACCCTTGAAGATAGAAACCTGAAATTTTATATGTACATAGATCTTTACGAGAAACATTTTCGTAAACAACAATTTTTTACCCCCTCCCTCCACCCCTAAAAGTTATACCCCCCCAAAACCCTGAAAATGCCATTTTTCAACACTATTTATTGTAGTAGTACCATACGCATTTTTCAAATTTTACAAACGCAGAAAAGTTGAGGGTTACTTCTTCTATCACGGCATACTATACTTGAACTTTAAAAAAACAAAATGGCTGTTAAAATTTACCGTAATATAAAATTCATGTTTTCCAAATTTTTGATGTCGTTTTTCTCCTAAGCCCCAGGTTGTAAAAGTCTGAAATTTTAACAGCTTTCAGACATTAATAAATAGTTCATTTCGTTGGAAGAAAATTTTTTTCCCCCTACTCCCCCTCTCAAGTTATCGCCACTCGAAATTTGTAAAATTTGAATATTTGGCACTTTATATAAGCAAAACCGCAAGATTTTTCAAATTTCTATAAATGCAGAAAGGTAACGGTAAATCCTATGCTATTAAAAATATAATTATTTTTCTTAAAATTAATTTCCTCTTAAAATTAATTTTTTCTTTATTTCAAAAACTGCATAAACCTCTCATCCTAAATATATGCAATCCTAGAAATAGTTTCGTATATGAATGAAAATTTATTTTCAGTGTGGTTATCGTATATATTGTTTTTCGAAGCAGTATTTTCACTTGTTGAAGAAAAAAGTGCTAGAATACAAACCATTGGTTTGAACCAACTTTATTTATATTTTTATCTACCCTAATATCTGGAATTTGGTGGTACAAATTTTATCGAGTTAAAAGTATGCGCATCTCATATATAACGCACAACTTTCATATTACGTTGCGGAGTTTGATATTAAACATACAATTTCAAATCACTATAATATAAATTTTAGAAATAAAAATAAATTCGGATAAAACAAAAAATTTTACTATTTGTATTTCACAACAAAAATTTTCGAAATATTTTTGTATTATAAACTACAAATTTTTTTTCTTATTTAAATTATTTATTAATTTCGCAATTAAAAATTTTTGTTTCTAGCTATCATAAATATCTTTTTAAAATATGCATATATTAAGGTTTTTACATTTTTTAATGTATTAACCCTCAATCGGGTTCACATGGATCCAACATAATTTCAAATAAAAAGCAAAAATATGTTACAGAATTTCGAACACACACTTACATACTCCATCTACACTTCTAATTTGTGTGAACAACCCGCTAGTCAAAATTAAAACAAGTACCCGATGTTTTCAAAACAAATCAATATTCTGTCTATTTATATGTGTGTACTCATCACTTGAATCACAGAAAAGTAGAGAGGACGCTGGATCTTAATAAAAATATTTTTTTGAAATTTCTGAACATGCAGTGAATACGAGTATTGTCTTATTAATACTTTCTGTTTATGAGAAATAGAAAATTAAAAAATCTGAAAGTTTCTCAAAATTTATATTAAAGGGTCCAATTTAGTAACAGTTGATTAATTGAATAAAGAAAAGTTTTATTTCCAAAAACTAATTGACTCATGTAACCAATTGTAAGTGTCGATATTCAACTATAGAGGTCAAAACCGACTCCAAAATTAATATTAATAAAATATTCGTTGCTAAACAATTTTTCAGAAACTAATTCCGTTTTATTCTTCAAATTATTTTTGAAATTTCTCTTATTTAATTTTAACTGATATTGAATCCAAAAATGGTAACTTGATTTAAATTTATTTGATAAAATTGCATAATACAAAATTTAACTCGTATATATTATAAATTCAATGTAATATATTTATTGATAAATTAAAAATGAATAAATTAAATTTAAATCACAACAAATAATAATAAATTAGTTTTTCACCTTAAACGACCTTCATTTCTTGTCTCAATAGCATGTCAACAAGATTTGATTGTAATTTACAACATATTTAATTAGTAACAACAATTTAGGTGTAAAAAAAACACACATACTAAATAAAATAAAAGTCAATGTTGACATTTATTTAATAAAAAGTAGCTACATAAATTAATATTAGTCATTTTTAGAAATATAATAGCAATTAAAAATTTTTGACAAGTTGGCAGTTACATGTTTATATCAAATATAAAGTGTTATAACAAATAATTTATGTAAGTGTAAACAAAAGTAATTTACGCGAGTGCAATTTCAATCGACTGCAACTGAAATATGAGTGCAATTTCATCCCATTTTTCAATAAATAACCAAAAGTAATTGAGTATAAACGATAATATTTAGAAAAACACGTGTTTGTTTTAACTAATCATTTTTATTTTATTTGTTTTACTTCAAAAGTTGTAATTGAATTACATATTTCACTGGAGCTAAAATATTTAATAATAAAAAACAAGATTTTTAGAATTATTGCTCTTTTTAATATATTTTTCCAGGAAATTTTTGAATCAATTAAAATTAAAATTTTTATAACACTATAATTAACTTCAAACTCAAAGAGTATAACAAAAACATAACATAGAAAAAAAAAATAAAAATCTTTTAGAATCTCATGTTTAAATTTAATCCTATTTATGTCATTCTAACCTATTTATAATCATTGTACAATCACATTCCATTACTTTAAAATTTATAATTCTAATTAAAATAAATGTACTGTGACTCAAATGGCGACTGATTTCTTAAATAAAATAAAATTCCTAATTATTGTTACTTTAAAAGTTTAAATCATTAATTTTATTTGCATTATTATAAAATATAAAACTGTAATGTAGATAAAATAAAGTTGATGTTATAATAATAAATTTAAACATTTGCTTAATTACTATTTAATAAATCATTTAAATATACGAAAATGCCTAATAATGCATTAACTTATCAAAAGTTGTCTGATATTTAAAAAATAAAAAGAAAAACACAATTAACATACTTGTAACGCAGGAAGTTCAATTAATAACAATTTGTTATGGCAATTCTAAATGTTAAAGCTGATTATCAATGACAAATGGCTACATTAAATTACTCAAATTCTTTTATAACATTAATTGAATTATTATAGTTTTCTAGTTAAACTTGCATAATCTATTTATAAATACTTATTGATTTATAGAAAAATTAATCTTAATCCTTTCACTAAGTATTTAATTTATTATTTATTTTATTTTAAATATTAATATAATAAATGAACTCTATATAAAATTCATTCTAAAAGGATTAAAATTTATTTTAATTCGACATTATGTGTATATACAGAAATTAATTATATTTTTTGTTAAATTTATCAAAAAAATATACGCAATAATTAGCAATAATTAATTTTGTTTTTAAAACAAATCGAAACTAACGCCAAATTTGATTTACGTAAAGCATTACTATATAAAGCCTTAATAGCATACATACATATAAAGCCTTAATAATAATAAGTGATTTCTCAAATGTTCTGTATTTAAATCGAAAGAAAACATCAGAATTCAAAGACCGAAAAGGTGAAATAAGGTATTCCTCGAATCGCATTCTTATTTATTAAATAATAACAAAGTTCGAAATTGTATTTTGAGCATGAGTGTCCCCATAGCGGATTAGCAGACTTAAATATATCTCTGTTTGTTTAAGTTTTGACAAAAAATTTAAAATGAAATTGATGGGACAAAAATTTGATGTTCGAAAGAAATATAGAATTGCTTTTTAAGCAAAGTTGCATAAGTTTTCGAGAATTTATGTAAATTTTTCCGTAATTGTACATAATCTGTGTAAGTCAATCATAAATTGGAAATTCTAATAAATCGGTTATGAAGTGTAAAAATTAAAAATGCGAAAAAACATTCCATTCAAAACGAAATAATTAGAAAATAAAGGATTAACAACTTCTGAATCTATTTAAATTCAACTTCTGTTTATTCCTATAAAGTGAATTACCCACAATATATTCTTTTATATTATACTAATTTTATATTTAACCTTTACTTACCGATCCAAAAACATTACCACATTTATCCATGCATAAATATAAGCATGTAGCAACTCCTTGAAACTTTATTTGTCCGATTTCAACTGTGGTGCGTTGTAGTATGGCTAAAAAGAACCAAAAAAAAAAAGAAAAATTCATATTCAATTTTATTTTTAAATTAAAAATTTAAGAAAATAGAAAAAAAAACACGATAAATTACTTATAAATAATTTTGCCTATTAACAGTTTTGTTTATGTTCTTAATATGACATTTAATTGCGTTTGGTATGGCGTAAGTTAAGTTGTGAATTTTACCATTAATATTCATATTTTCTAAATATTAAATCAGAAATAAAATAAAACATTAAAAAAGATTTGCAATTTCGAAAACTACCATTAATTTTTGAATACAAAAAAAAAATGTTTTGTGCTTAATGCTAAAGTGATTTGACATTTGCGTTAAATTTTAAATTGCAGTATATTTTTTTCCTTTTGCATAAGACTTAAAATTTAAATAGTCTGCGTTCTGTGCAATAAATTTGACGTTTTTAAGAATATAATCCATGTGAATTACAATCTATATATTTATAATATCGATTCTTCGCCTTCATATATATGTGGATGCAAACGTAATTTTATTACATATTATTTGACATCATTGACATAGCGTATTTGTTCAACATTTTGCAATTTTAAGATGTCTTAATATGTTTTTAAGATTTTAAATTTTTGACTTAAGTATTGTTATTTAAAAATAATTAAGAATTCGACAGAAAACGCGTTAATTGCAATACAAAATAAAAAGTAACTAAGTACAAAATTATGTACATTTCGCGTACGTTACGCGGTTTTTCTAATTACAAAATAAATTTATCATGTTTTCGATTTATATTGATTGATAGTTGATTGATGTTGTCTTAATATAAAACAATTAATTTTTTTTTTTATTTTTTTTTCTTTCTTTAAATTTAAGGTTATGTATGAAATTCAGATAATATTAAGTTAATTTTTAAGATTTTTTATGGTAAAAATGTACAAGTTGTAGAAAATCTTTAATTTTTATAATAACATGACCCTCAAAAATTAATACAAAATACTTTTCATCGCAGTGCGACAACACTACGCATTTTATATTAAATTTATTTTATGGTTTTAAAAAGCGATGTAAATACATTAGATTATTAGAAGATAGAAATTTTATTTGACAAATAAAAAAATAAAATGTATTCAAACTCCAATAACAAAATTTTATATTTAGTTTCAAATTTTTTAGAAGTAAATTTTAAATTTCAAAAACAACTTTTTACTTTATTGTATAATAAATTCAAATTGATTGCTTTGTATCTTTAAATAATAAACGGAAAACTTTCCAAATATTAGCGTGATTTTATGAGATTTATTACTCAAACACTAATGTTTTCTTCAGTTTTATAACAAGAAAAAAATTTATCAAAAGTTATCCCATTAACTCCCAACTTACTTAACCTCAAAATTTTTATTATCTACATTAAAAAGTCAATTAATCAATGATAATAGCAATCATTAATATTTGCAGTAAAATAAAAATTTTATTTTACATATTTAAATTTCCTATAAATTTTTATTTGAAAATTCCCACAATTTTCAAATCCGAATGTAATGAACTTGTCTCTATAAAAACTTAATAAATATTAATAAATTAATTACGAAATGTTAACGAATGTTAAGTACGCGTTTTAAAAATTCTTATGACGCATTTGCAAATAATATATGACAGGCAGTCTATGATCTACCTACATGTTTTTAGCACTTTTCCAAAAAAATTTTGAAAAAAAGTGCTTATTAGTTTCACTCTGTCCGTCCGTCCGTCCGTCCGTCCGTCTGTCCGTGTGTCTGTTTACAAAACTTCTACATTCTTAAAGATAGAAAGCTGAAATTTAATACGTACATAGATCTTTACTAGAAACTTATTTTCGTAGAACAAAATTTTTACCTATCTCCCCCCCTCTATAAGTTATACCCCCCCAAAGCACTAAAAATGGCCTATTTTAACTATTTGTCGCAATGAAACCATAAGCATTTTTGAAATTTTGCCAACGCAGAAAGGCAGTAGCTTGCTTCCCCTACCGCGGTATACTATAGTTAAACTTTAGAAAAACAAAATGGCCGTTCAAATTTACCGTTATCTAAAATCCTTTTTTTCCAAATTTTTGATGTCGTTTTTCTTCTAGACCCCAGCCTGTACAAGCTTGAAATTTTAGGGGCTTTTAGACATTAACAAGTAGTTCATTTCGTTAGAAGAAAATTTTTTTCCATCTCCACCGCCTCTCAAGTTATGGCCTCTTGAAATTTGTAAAATTTGCATTTTTGGCACCTTATATTTCTGAAACCGCAAGCTTTTTCAAATTTGTATAAACGCAAAAAGTTAACGGTAAATTCCATGACATTAAAAAATATAATTATTTTTCTTAACTCATACAATTAACCCTCAAAATCGAACGTTATGTTAACCCCTGTTTATATTAATTTTTGCTTTATTTCAAAGACTGCATAAATGGTTCATCCTAAATACATGCAATCCTAGAAATAGTTTCGTTTATAAATGAAAATAATTTTAATAGTGTGGTGGATATACATAGACTGTTTTTAAAAGCAGTATTTTCACTTGTTGAAGGGAAAAGTGCTACAATACAAACCATTGGTTTGACCCAACTTTATTTTATAATACTGCATAATTTGGCGTACTTGGCTTTAAAATTTCTTTTGTGATTTTTTAAACAAAAATGTGTAATTTCAACAAGCTTTTGTATAACTATATATTTTAAAAAGAAATTTTTACTCAATTGTCAAATCAAAGGCCCTCAAAAGCATCTAAATACAAATCTTTGAAATGCCAAATTTTGTTATGACAAATTAATATACGCCAGTCTATCAAAAAATACTTGAACTTTGGTCAAACCAAAAAAAAAAATAAAAACACATACTTATAATTTAAGATTTTTTATAAATATAAAATCTTCTACTATTCGTCAAAGTAATTTTGAATCCCCTAGCTTATAAAATGCAGTTTTTTTTAACATTTTTTAATTTATTAATCTAGCAAAATATTTTTTAGGATCTGAATCATTTTGGGAACACATGACATATAGACATAATTTACTATTCCTCCGAATAAATTATATAATTATGGAAAATAACATATTTATTTTTTTCTTAAAATTTTGATTCAACAAATAAATTTCTAATCTCTAATAAAATAATTTATTGCTATAAACTATTATCATACTTGCTACATTAGATGTGTGTGAACATGAATATTTTAATATTTATGCATAATATATGAAAATTTTATTTGTAATACTGCACTCTTGAAGATGTTTTAATGTGTAATAAATTTATTTTTGTACTTGCCATGTCACAAATACCAAAATGTATTACTATTTTAATGGGATTTCTTGAAAAATAAAAAAATTTGAAAGTATCACACATTCAAATAAAACTTATTATGCACAATTTTTCATTTCAAGCATTAATTTTTTTTTGTTTTTTTTTTTTGGTTTATCAAAGGAAAAAAGCATAAGAAAATTTATAAATAAACATTAAAATTGTAAAAAATTTTAATAACTTGTCACTTCAAATCATTTAAAACTATAGGGAGCAATGGAACTTATTGCACATACACGATTTTTAAAATATTCTTTAAAATTCTAAATTTATAATCAACTTTTAATAATTGAAAATTTATTATGATTGTTTTTGTTTCAGTGCAACAGTGTCCAAAAATTGTCTATAAGAAATAGTATGATTTTAAAACTAAAAATACCAACCGGGCGGAATGACCGACCAACAATATAATCAATGGGTTTTGATTTGTTTGAATGAAATATTTTTCTTTTCTTAGAAGCTTCTAGATCTAACAATTCATAAATTCATAATTTTATTTTTCGAATTTCTGTAGTTTTTCAACTTAATTTCATAGTATTCATTTTTCACAGCAACATAAAGATCCATCGTGCTCATTCGCTTCATTACACAAATGTTGCAAACGTAAAGTTTTACAAAATTTGGATTTTAATCCATCTGGGGGAAATTGTTTTATAATAAAATCAATTTTAAAATTTTATAAATTTGATATAAAAATTTATTCAATGACAACAAATTTGTATTTAAAATGCTAATTAAATTCAATTTTTTTAATTTGGAATAAAAAAATAAAGAGGCATGGCATGCTTTTTGATTCGAAAACTAAAAATAAATTTAGTTTTAAAATTTTTAAATTTTTTTCAATTTTTATTATAAAAAAAATATGGCTACATAGCCAGCAAATATATAAATAAAATGTACTATCATTTTGACTTTATCATGTAGCCGTTGCGAGTTTAGTTATTATTAGAAGGTGTACGTATTTATTTATTCAAAAAAACCGAGTAAAAACGTTCAATTTGGGTGAAGTTTTATAATCGCCTATTCAACATTGACTTTTCTTTCTTAACTCAAAACTTAAGAACTATTACAATCGGTAAATGTATTAGACTTTTCAGAAATCGTGATCTTTTAGTATTGATCTTCAAAAAAATTTTCCAACAAAACTTGTTGAGTCTTCCAAAAGCTTTTCAATAATACGTTGCATGACCATATTTTGTTAATTTTTTAAAACCACTACCGAGTGTGGGTGTACATTTTGTTCATTTCCAATACCGAAGTGCGTGCAATAAAAATGTGCATACTCGTATTTCTTGATATGCCAAATTCCAAATTTCCAGCTCTTTGTGTTTCCAAATTAACACAAAGATGAGCGGACGGGTATAGTTATATCGACTTGGAATTTGATTCTGAACAAGCACATATGTATATATGTACGAGTATATAGTACTTGAAGTCGCATCAAGAAAGAATTTTTCATTCTTGGTGTTACATACGCGTAAAACAATAAAACAGTGTATGTTAGAGGCGGGTATAAAAATTATTAAAAATTACAAAAAGAATTTTTTATAGTTGGATTTTTTTAAGCAATAAATTCAATATAAAAGAACCGCTCAATTCATTATTATAAACAAAATTTAATTTTAAGAAGCGTGTGCTTGTAAATTAATTATAAAATTAATTAAATAAATTTTTATAAAAAAAGTAAAAAACAATATACAAA